GGCATCCTGTCCGCCCCGCAGCAGCACTCCCCCATCCTGGTGGACGGTGCTGTGGAGCTGGTCACTCTGGCTCTGGCTCCCTCCCCTGCAGACGCCGCGCAGCGCATCCACGCCGCCGCCACCCCCGCCATGCTGCAGGCGCGGCGCTGCGGCGCGTGGGCGGGGGGAGGGGCGTGGATGGGGTGGGGCCCGGGGCACGCCGGGTTGGGCTGCTGGGCTGCGAGGGGTGGCAGCCGTGGCGACATGCTCGAGAGCCTGCCTTCCGCACCGCCTCCGCTCCCGCTCCCTGCCTGGCCATGCCCCTGCCAGCCTGCCTCCACCCTCCCCGCCTCGCCCCCTCCCCTGCTGCAGCTGCTGATGCACCACGACGATGGCGAGGTGCTGCGCAGCGCCACAGCCTACCTGCGCACGCTGCTGCAGGCGCGCGGCCGCCGCCCGCTGCCCTCCGCCCCCTGCCGCCGCTCCTGCGCCAGCCGCCGCCGTCCTGCACGTGCTCTTGTGCACGCTCCCCGCGCCCACGCCCTGCGTGCGTACAATGCCCTGCACCGCCTCCCAGCGCACCTGCGCAACGGCCCTCCCACCTCTCACACACACACACGTGTGCGCCTGCAGGTCGGCGGCGGCGCCGCGCTGAGCTGGCCCGGCGTCCCCGACTTCCTGCCCGCCCTGCTGGCGGCCGTGCAGCGCCTGCTGCAGCCGCAGCTGGAGGACAGGGCCTGCTCGCTGGTGGGGGCGCTCATTCTGGAGCTGCTGCGCCACGCGGGGCCGCAGATGGTGAGCTTGCGGCTGACCTGGCGCTGACCTGGCAGCGTTTCTGTTTTATTATTTTGTGGTCTTGTGTGCAAAGGAGGTTGACCTGCTGTGCCTGCTGTGCCCTGGCACTGTCCTGGTTGTGGCTGATGGGAGGTGGCACGCCCGCCTGGCTCGCCTGCCCGCCCCGCCCCGCGTGCCGCGCGCAGGCGCCGCTGCTGCCCGGCCTGCTGGCCGCGCTGGCCTCCAAGCTGTGCGCGGCGGAGGATGCGGCCATGGTGCAGAGCCTGCTGTGCGTGCTGGCCCAGCTGATGCACTCAGACCAGCAGCAGCTGCTGGACTGCCTGGCGGGCATCCAGCTCAGGTGGGTTTAGGGCGGCGGGCAGCGGGGGGCGGGTGGGCGCTGCGCCTGTGTTGCCGCCCTCCACCCGCACCCCCAGCCAGCCACCCAGGTCTGCTGCCTGCCAGCAGCCCGCCCTCGCCTGATCGTCCCTCACGGCCCCGCACCCTCCCTAAAAACCTCTCCACCCACCAGCCACCACCACCCCTGCTGCCTCCCTCCCACCCACCGCCCACCCCTGCTGCCTCCCTCCGCAGCGACGGCCGCTCGGCGCTGCAGGCGTGCATGCAGAAGTGGTGCGAGCGGCAGATCGAGGTGCGCACAGCCTACGACATCCGCCTCACCACCGCCGCGCTGGCGGGCCTGCTGGCCTGCCCGCACCCCGCACTGGACGCCATCCAGGTGTGTGCGCCAGGGCTGCCCGGCTGGCTGACTAGGCTGGGGCCTGGTTGGGGCCTGGCTGGGGGCTGGCATTGGGCCAGGATGTCGGGGCCTGGCTGCGCCGCCCAATGGGGCCCACCCTCGCCGCCGCCTGCC